AAATAAACTTCCTATTAAATGTTAATTTTGCTATTCATGACATTTACAGTTATTTAAACAAAATTACCTTCCATTAATCTTTAACCTCCTGCTATACACTAAGATGAACATCAGTGTATGATAAACATCAGTAATGACATCAGTAATGTCATCAGTGAAAGATGTACATCAGTAATGTCATCAGTGTAAGATGAACATCAGTAATGTCATCAGTGTAAGATGAACATCAGTAATGTTGTCAGTGTAAAATGAACATCAGTAATGTCGTCAGTGTAAAATGAACATCAGTAATGTCATCAGTGTAAGATGAACATCAGTAATGTCATCAGTGTAAGATGTACATCAGTAATGTCATCAGTGTAAGATGAACATCAGTAATGTCATCAGTGTAAAATGAACATCAGTAATGTCATCAGTGTAAGATGAACATCAGTAATGTCATCAGTGTAAGATGTACATCAGTAATGTCATCAGTGTAAAATGAACATCAGTAATGTCATCAGTGTAAGATGTACATCAGTAATGTCATCAGTGTAAGATGTACATCAGTAATGTCATCAGTGTAAAATGAACATCAGTAATGTCATCAGTGTAAGATGTACATCAGTGATGTCATCAGTGTAAGATGAACATCAGTAATGTCATCAGTGTAAGATGTACATCAGTAATGTCATCAGTGTAAGATGTACATCAGTAATGTCATCAGTGTAAGATGTACATCAGTAATGTCATCAGTGTAAGATGTACATCAGTAATGTCGTCAGTGTAAGATGAATGTCAGTAATGTCGTCAGTGTAAGATGAATGTCAGTAATGCTGACATTTCTCTGTTCACTACCTGTCCAAATGAACTGAAAAGGCCTATTTATTCCCCGGAAAACAATAATTTTAGGACCTCACTCATTGTTCAGTTACAGTGGGAAAGAGATAGCCTACATCTTTTTTTTTACTGAAGATTTAATTTTAGCAAAGTATTTCAAGCATATTTTGGGTCCCCTAATCAAAGAAGAGATGCATGTTTATCTAGGACTATTCTGTATGTCATCAACATTGCTTTAATTTACTTTAAAACAAAACAACAGTGTTTATATTTTTTATAAGAACATGAAGTATGCTTGGTCAGCAGCCCTTGAACTAGTCTACTTATATGTTTGTGTGCACAAATTACATACAGGGATTGGGTGGTAATACAGTGCAATGTATGTAGGCTATCTTTAAACCCTATGATTCCCACAACCCTTTTTCACTGTTTTCGACTACAACGTGGGTCATTTTGACCTGTATACTTTTTACATAGACAAAGTGAAAATCCTGATCCAACTATATGGTAGGTCAAATTGACCCATATACTTTTTAATAAGAGCCCTTTAATATTTTGATGAAATTATATATTTTAACAATTCAGTATAGTGTTAAAATAATCATCCTTCCAAAACTTTAGTTTTTAGTTGTTTGTTTTGGTCATAAATATTGCAAAACTACATAAAAAATAAAACAATATCAACACATTTTGAATAACAAGAAACTTGTATTATGTTAGATATTATAATAAACTTATAAGAATTAGTGTGATCTTTGCAGATAGAAGTTGCACACTTTTGACAGCTTGTAGAAGTTTTCCTGTCTGACTTGCAGATAGAAGTTGCACACTTTTGACAGCTTGTAGAAGTTTTCCTGTCTGACTTGCAGATAGAAGTTGCACACTTTTGACAGCTTGTAGAAGTTTTCCTGTCTGACTTGCAGATAGAAGTTGCACACTTTTGACAGCTTGTAGAAGTTTTCCTGTCTGACTTGCAGATAGAAGTTGCACACTTTTGACAGCTTGTAGAAGTTTTCCTGTCTGACTTGCAGATAGAAGTTGCACACTTTTGACAGTTTGTAGAAGTTTTCCTGTCTGACTTGCAGATAGAAGTTGCACACTTTTGACAGCTTGTAGAAGTTTTCCTGTCTGACTTGCAGATAGAAGTTGCACACTTTTGACAGCTTGTAGAAGTTTTCCTGTCTGACTTGCAGATAGAAGTTGCACACTTTTGACAGCTTGTAGAAGTTTTCCTGTCTGACTTGCAGATAGAAGTTGCACACTTTTGACAGCTTGTAGAAGTTTTCCTGTCTGACATGTAGATAGAAGTTGCACACTTTTGACAGCTTGTAGAAGTTTTCCTGTCTGACTTGCTGGGGCACCTGGCACAATGCTCTCGCTTAGATGCTCCTTTTATCTCTGTAACATCAGTATCAGTAGCTACAGAATGGTCATCTCTTTCCAGCAGTTAGTCTAATGTGATCTGTAGTTGCCTTAGCAAACACTTGAACTGCCTTCTGTGTTCAGATTTGGGCAAAACAAAATCTCTGACAACCTCAAGTTGGAAAAATCATCGATTGTCACTTTGTGGTAGCATGTTGGTAGGGAATTTAATCTTGTAGATTACATTTGCTGCTATCGATGCTATATCTAGCTTGTTGAAAATTATAACCATTGGCCACCTTTTGGTTTGTTGTTTTGCAGTTACAGCATGGGCCATCAAATCCATAGTGTCAACTCCACCCTTTGTAGCATTATAGAAATTTACTATATCAGGTAGGGTTGTTCCACTACTGGTTGTCATGATCTTTGTTGCATCAGTTTGCATGCTAGACAGTAAAATTACATTTTTTTAGCCAGATTTGTAGCTGACTATAGTTGAATCCTTTCTATAGATAAATTTTGGCTCACCCTTTTTTCTCTGCTTAGGACCCTAGAATTCATCTGCTATTAACCTTTTGTTTCTTCTCAAGGTTCCTACCAAACTGATTTTTTTTTTCAGTAATGTATTACACAGCTCCATGTAAGTAAAAAAATTGTCACAAGTTAGGTTCTGCCCTGAGCCAAGGTTTACATAGCTCCAAAGCTGTAGTCCGTCCCAAATGTACTTGAGGAGTGAGTCCAATTTAGCCTAAGTATGGCTTAGATGTCAGAGGATACATAGTCTCTGTATCAACACACCAGAATATTTTAAGGCCACACTTATCAGGCTTAGATGGCAAGTGTTGCAAAAAAACTGCAGCGTCCTCTCCATGGCATCAACTGCTCATTAACAGTTATAAAAGGGCTAGGAACATAGTGTCTCTTCAAAGATTTCATACATTTTTCCCAAACATCCCTAACTGGAGCAAAGGCGTCATTATCAAAACGAAGCCTGTTGCATAACTTCAGAAACCTATTTCTTGTTAGTGTGCCCCTAACATAGTTATATTTATATCCAAATTGAGCATTCCAAATAAGTTCAGTTGGGAAGATGTTCTGGTTCATAGCACCTAAGTTGATGAAGCAGCCAATAAGTGCTGGAATCTCAGTTTCATCAGCTGGAACACAGTTGTCTCTGTCCATCTTTTTACCTTCCAAATTTGTGTATTTAACTACATCTGCTACAATTTAATTTGTAATGAATAGATTAAATACCGAAATGGGGTCATAGATGTTGTTACAAAGAGGAATTTTTGTCTTCGGGGGATGAAAGATGTTCCCTTGACCACCTTGTATCATCTTTGGTGTTTACCTCAACAGCAAAAGTAGGGTCTTCGGATGGTGAATCAGCAAACAGATCAGTAGTGGGGTTTGAAGGTCCTGCAAAATCTGATATATATAAGCTTTAATAAATAAATATAATGCATTGGTCTTTCACACTATTTATCCTTACTGCTATTAGAAAAACACATTGCTTACCATCTTGAGAAAGTGTAACAACAGGTCCCAGCTCTGTCAAAACTCAAAACATATTCCTCTTCTTACCCTAGATCAGAAGGTAGGTCCTCATCTCAGAAGCGTAGCTAGGTGAGGGTGGGTGGGGCAGCCGCCCCGGATGCCGGCCTTAAGGGGGCGCCAAAAGGGGTAGAGAAATTAATTTAAAAGCTTAATTAATTTAAGCTAAAGCATAAAATTATACACTTTCAAAGTTAAAAAAATGAAGGAAGACAAGGCTTTACGTAGTGATTTAGATGTTTTTATAGAAAATGTTACGAGTTAATAACTGGTAAGAAGTGCCACAAATCTTTCCAACATAGGAGGGAGGGGGCGCAAAGTTAATAGTTTAATAGTCTGCCCAAGGCGCCGGAATAGGTCCTTACGCCTCTGCCTCATCTAGTGGATAACTTCTTCCTCATCAGTAGTATCTCCCTCTTCAGACAATGCCTGCATTTTGCTTTAAAACAATTGAAATAGATTTCACTCCATTGCAAACATTATTTTTGAAACAAAGCTGCCACAGAAACAGGATGTAGAATAAAAGTATTAATATGCAAGGGAAAGAACTCTAAAGACATAGGCCTAGCCCATACTAAACTATTTGAATTATAACTATAAATTAGTATAAAGTATAAACTAAACTAGATTCTAGATCTATAAGTCCTAGGCCAAAGGGAAGCTTTTTGAAAAGTGTGTGTATGCCTTTTTTCGCATACAATTATTTCAGTTTTGTTATATAAAAAGTGTATGGGTTAAAATGACCCATGTTAGTAGTAATAGTAGGGAGAGGTATAGTTAACTCAAATCTACTCACCCTCTTATACAACATGCAATTTTTTTTCTTGTTTAGAATTAAAGCATTGTAGATTCTATACTGTATAGGCAGCATATGTATTATGTAGAAGCTCAAAACAATTGGTCCAGTGTTTGACCGGTAAATAACTAAAATTAAAATGTTATGTTGCATGGACGGATCAAAATGACCCCTTATTATTTTTTGTTCACCCTCTTGCCCTCTTATGATCACATTTTCATGGTTGTAATGTTGTTAAACACAAGCATCTCAACGGATCGGATCTGGTGTTATAGATTCTTAACTAAAAACCATAATACTTAGGCCTAGATCTAGATCTATAATATAATAATTAAGTTATATTTATTATGATTTTACATTTCGGCGAGATAATTATTTATTTTAGTTTAGTGAGAGTTACTTACCTTGCCCCTGAGCGATAATAGGTTTGTTGTTGTACCTAGCAGATTTTTCAATAGATCCCTCAAACTTCAAGTTAAGGTTACCAAAGGGTTTTGTGTAAATATTAACAAAGTTATCACACAAGAAAAACTGTATTTTAATTAATTATTGTGGAACTTAATTATAGGTAGTTCAGTTTGATACATTACTGAGATCGAGAATTAGAATCTAGATCTAGATTCTAGTCTAAAGCTAGATCTCTAGATCTAGAGACTAGAAATAGAATCTAGATTCTAGATCTGAGATTCTGAGACTGAGATCTATTCTAAATTCTAAAGTATTCTTGTCAATGTCTAGATTCTAGATTTTGATTAGATCTAGATTATTCTAGATCTAATCTAGAGAAATCTAGATCTAGATTTTTAGATCTAGATTCTATCTAGATCTAGCATTTAGATTTTAGGGTAATCTATCGTTTTGGGTACGTAAAATCGCCCGCAACTAGTAATGTGAAAAACAGGTGACTCCTTACATTTTAATAATCATTTCACATTTTGAGGAGGATTTATGTTTTGAAAAATACAAAAATGTTTCCTTGTTTCATTTATGTACCTGTTTTTAAACAATTGAATTAAAACTTTTCAGTAATAAATGAACACCAGCGATGTTTCCAACAGATGCAACCATGCTCATTTACTATAGCAGCCATCTTGTTAAAGTTTTATTTTTATAGACTTATAGCACGAGATTCAGGTGGAAGTCACTCTATTTTACTAATGGCTGCTGTTCATATAGCAAATCTTGCTTGCAGACACTGCTGTTTAAAGTTAATTTTTGGCCTATATTGATATATTTAGCCATTGATTTCGGTTTATTATTCATTTATCTATAATATTTGACACAAACATATCACAATATACTTCTATTACAGCCTTGACAGCCTTAACGTTTTCGTACATTAATAGCAGCGGGCGATTTTACGTATCCAAAACGATAGATTACCGATTTTAGACTTAGTTTCTAGATCTAGGATATTTATTATTTAGAATCGACCCTTTGAATCCCGGACAGATGAGATCGTCCCCCCTCTAAATTTATCCAATTTTTACCCAAGAATCTGAGTAGATCCAGCTACCAGATCTTCAATAAATTATAATTACAATAATAATTAGGCCTAGGCCATACATGAGTTGAGATGAGTAGCCTTCCTCACTGTTGTATTGGGGCATTGCCTATGCATGCAATAAGAATACTTACGACCGAAAGTCACTGAATCTTTTACCAAATTGCTTTGTTTAATTAATTGTTTTATAACATGATAACTGATAACACACTGTCACTACACATTCATTTCAATAATTTATGTAGAATATAAATGTAGATCTAGGACTTGGCCTTAACTATAACTACTATTTTAGGGAGAATAGATAATAGAATCTTCTTTAAAAAAGGGGTGTTAGGTTACTGGTAGTTAACTAAATACACACATGCCTGGCTAATGTCAATGCTAACCATGTCCCTAACCCCAACCCTGGTCCTACCATACGCCTAACCCTAATTTCTAATCATAAAATTAGTCGAGATTACAATACTACTAACAACCGAACACACCTATTTTATGGAAGAGTCTATTATCAGACAATCGCATCTAAAATCATCTCTATTTTAATTAAACATTATTCCCTCCTCATAGGTCACAGACCAGAGGAGTGGTTTAGATTAGTATATTTTTAGAATTTAAGAATAGCAGGATTTCTTTGAGACGGGGGAAGTACACCCTGAGGATGGGGCTTTGCAGTGTACCCCAGAGAGATGCCTGAAAAAAATACTGGCCCTAATTTAAATTTAGGACTGAAATTGTGTATGACAGACATGAGAAACAAATGGCTAAAAAAATATTGTAGATGTATGATAAAAAATAAAGAAGTGCATTACACTAACAGTACACATGTAAAAGAGATTGCTAACACTAATATTAATACTAATATTAATCATAGCCTTAATTTAAGTACCTCTATCAATTGTAATGCCCACCAAGTAAATATACTCATATAACAGATCCCCAATTTAAAAAAAATAAATCTTCTCATTTATTTGATATTGTGTTTCAGTGTTACCATCATTTATTCTAAACTGCTGATGGCTCATTAGATATAACATCCACATCAGTTGAGGACGAAACTTGATCTCTGAATCAGCAAGGTAAATATATGGATCAGTTATGTTGTCTTATCCTGCCACTTTTAACCTTTGTTGGTGTAAAAAAAAAAAGATTCTTTTTTTTTGTAGTTATTCAGATAAATTGCCTTGGCTGTTATTTATTTAATTTACACCTGTTTTTTTTTTCAAAATTGTAATAATATTTCCCATTGTCTGAGTGTTGATTATACCATATTATAAATATAATTTATTATAATGGCTACCATCAGTATCACACATATTGTTTATGTTATTTCTTCGCTTGTTTGGTTTTGAAATATGTTACAGAGGAAGCAATTGCTGCCTATAGATGCAAGCCAATTTGGCATGTCCATTTTTTTGTTAAAAAAATCGCAAAATAATTTTTTGCTTTATTCAAACAGCTGGTTACATTTTAAAATAAGCTTATTGCTTTTTAAATATAATTTATACCTATCCGCTTTTAGAAAAATTAATTATGTTTGCAGACGTAATTGAGTTTGTTTTATTTATTTGAAAATGTTTTTTTGTTTTGTCTACTGTCTTGTAGTTTAATGACTTTTTTTTTCACTCTTTTAACGAGTAGTCAGCAATGTTTTAAGTGAAAATTACATTTCAGGTATGAAAGGGCTAGAGCTTAAGGATGTCTTTCTTCAGAAAAAAGAAAAAAGGTTATACCCACACTTTCAACATCTTACTTTGACTAATTTCCCGCTTAAACTAAATAAAAAAATGGTGATGGACATTTCTTTTATCTTTGTAATACAAGAATAGGCAGCCAATTTAAACTCACTTTGATACCTTTAGATATTTAAACTAAAATTCTTTTCCAATTGATTTTTCCTATTGTGTTTGTTTGCTACTTTATTTCTTTATTTTACTGTTGCAAAAATTTTATTGCCTCTAAAGTTTGATGTTTGTGAGCCCATAATAACCTCAAAATCTGTGTCTAATCCCATCGCATTTTTAAAAATTATCATTTCTTTAAAATATATTATCCACATTTACTTTTTGATATAAACCCTTTAATTCAATTCATATTTAATTCAGTTCCATGAGTAAGCTGTGATAATGATAAATTTTAAATGAGTAAAACATTTTTGGTGGGTTGTGCTGTAAGCTGGGTTGTAGCATGCAGGTATCCAGGCTTGAAGTAGCTCATTAGGTGACAAACTAATTAGCACTAATAAATCTTTACTGACAACTTTATAAAACACTCGTAAATACTTGTTTCCTGTTTTTTCTCTCTGGTGTTAACTTTTTAATTTTTTGCTGCTGAACATATCTACTAAACAAAATATTTCTTCCCCAAGTTTAATAAATAACATCATTTATGAACTAACTGCACATAATTTTTTATGGATAGAAAAATTTAAAACAAAAATTCAGTGATACAGATAACTGATTCATTTCTTTCAAAATACAAGGCCATCATCAAGCTGAGAGGATGTAATTTAAAATGTTAATGTAATTGTGTAACACATGTTAATGTGTTGATCAAGTAATTGTGTAACTGTTTAGAAGTGTTTACAGCTGTGACCCACACACAAACTGTCAGCTGATCTAATGCCATGGTCTGATAAAGTTTTGATTTATACAGGGCCGCCAGCAGAGGACACCCCAAAGAAATCTGAGAAAAAAAGTAAGATGCCATTATTCAGACGCCAGAGTGAAAAGGGAAGAAAAAGACAGCAGGATCTGGAACTTCTGGTAAAGTGGCCAGACTTTTTAGCATCTGAAATAAAGATGGAATATATTTCTTGTGATCAGCAGTTTGGGTTTTACTTAGAAAGTGTGTGCTTGTTGGTTTAAGAAAAAAATCGTCAAGACCATCTTTTTGATTTTGGCATTTTAATCTCTCAGGCTCAGCAAGACCCAGAACCAAGATTTGATTTATCATCATGTGAGTTAATGGAGGTAAGTGGTAAACACATCTAGGATATTTTTTGCTTTATCATCGTGTGAGTTAATGGAGGTATGTAGGCTAAAAACACCAGGAAATATTCTCTTCCTGTGATTGTTGTTTACCTTTTGTTGATTAAGAATGTGCTCATGTGTAATTATGAACAAAAGAATCCAAGTTTACTATTGTACACTCTTTTATTGACCAGGTACCATCAGGTGTCTATGCCATCTGTAGAGTGCTACAAAAGCAGGTAAGTCCCATTATTGAGTAATATAGATTTTTAAAAATAAATCATTTACATACTCGAAATAATTAAAACTTTTACTTGAATTAAATTCACATTGAAACCATTTGAAAGATCAGAGTAGAAAACAATAGGTCTTTAAGTGTTGAGTAATAAAATAATAGGTTTGTACATTTAAGAAAGAATAAAATAGAAAGAATTTTAAATTATTAATTTTATAATAAAAGTTTAGTGCACTAAATTAGTGTGTTTTGCTGATATCTTTAGGTAAAAAAAGTAGTTGTTCCTATTGCTAGTTGTAATAAATAAAAAAATATAGCTGTTGCTAGTTTTAACAAATAAAACTATTGTTTCAGGTTCTTCTACTACATGATAACTGGCTGCAAGGGTTGGGAGGAGGTGGTGAAATATCAGATTTAAGTCTTCTAAAGGTGATTTGATTCATTTAGCAATAGTTGTCTTGATAGTTGTTTATAGAAATATCAGATTTAAGTCTTATAAAGGTGATTTGATTCATGTTTCAATAGTTGTCTTGATAGTTGTTAAGAGAAATATTAGATTTAAGGATAGGCACCACGGATAAAATTTTTTTTTTTATTTAACACATTTCTGGTTGTTTAATAAGTTCATATAATTATAGTTGTTAAACTATAGACAAAAATAATACATAGCCGTCAATAGCAGTACTGATTGCCATGGAAACCGTGAAAAGGTGTGAAAACTAACACCTTTTCAAAACGCTAAGGCTTTGTTCCCATAAGAGATTTTAAAAAGCGGGTGAAAGAATTAGATTTCTCAAACCAAACTATACATTTCTACGTTTACTCATTGCGATAGCTTGTACTCAATTTTTAATACAAATTTTTACGTAAATGTATTTGCAAAAATTAGGGGGTGGTGTTACATAAATATCAATATTTCCATAAGTATTGTAGTAAACTTAATGTACAAACGTAGTTTTGTAGATGGTATCATGCTGAATGCACGTGGAATGTTTTATTCTTTTATGACAAAGAGTTCCAAAGCCTTAGCGATTTGAATGTTGAATTTTGAGTAAAAATGCAAAGTTGAGAAAACGTGAAAAGAAGAGCGGGAAAAGACATGGTGCGTTTTCTCTTATAGAAAACAGAAAAAAAACGTCTTGTTATATGTGGAAGAACCATTTGTCTAATAACATACGCTTTGATTTATGTTGTAAGTTTTAGACAGATTTTTTCTATGTAAGCAGAAAATATGTATACAACAGGTAATGAATGTATGACTATTAAGTATTACACATCCTATCAATCGAGCGGTATTCTCAGAACAGCTATCTTCAAACCAGATCAAGTTTTGTTTGTTAGCCGGTCTTCTCACTTCAAAATAATGTCTTTCTCTACTCAAATTGTAGCTTACACAAGTTTAGTGCCTTATGATAATAGCCTACAACACAACACTGGGTACAACGCTTGAGGCTAGACACGCCCCCTGCACCCCACCCCACCGCTGGATAGTGCGTGAAGAACCGATGAGCCATAGATTACCAATGTTCATTCAACCGCGAATAACACATCTGTGTAGATAGGGTCAAGTACAGGGCCTAAGTGAATGCTTCTCAGCTATCCTATCTAGTATTTACATTCGTTGCTACCACACCATATACAGAGAGATGGGCATACACATTAACACATGTGTCGTATACAGTCCGGTGTAAAGCCTGATGAACGCGTTCAAGCCTATCACAGCATGCCGTAACTAGATTATAAACCGGCCGTTGGTTGAACGGCGAGAAGGAAATGAAAGGGGTAAAGGGGATGGACAGTACATTCTTCAAACTGATAGTCATGTCCATGACGCATTGTTTCAGCTTAGTATAAAGCGTACGAAACATTGTTTAATATTGTTCCAGTGATAATCAACAGTGCGTTTCTAGGCCACGTTTCAATTACTAAACTTAATGTTGTTCTATAACTTTAAAACAACAAATAGAAGAGTATACGCAAATGATGTAAACAAACGAGACAGGCGATTGTTTTGTTTATCTAGAAACAAGATGGCTGCCTAGCACACGTGGTTAGTTGCAGCCTATCGTGAATTATTTTGATTTACTGTACTATAATATGATTGGTCAAGCGTATCATTGAATCTCTTCCCCTTCATAATTTTTACGTGCATGCCCTTATATGGAGTTTGATATAAAAATTTACTTTGTAGAAAACAACTTCTATCTCACTTATTTTTAGAACAAAAGAAAAGGTCACTACACCAGCGGGTACACGAGTGCTTGGCCCTTAGATTGCTGTAAAGTTTATGGTGCCCCGCGGGCCATAAATACATGTAATACCCGCTCGAAGATAGCCGCTGTCCGCGTAGTAGTGTGAAAACTTGCCGGGGGGTACCATGTTTCACATCGCAATAAACGGATAACCGTAAGCTGTAGAAGACCGAAATGTTCGGGTTAGATAGATAAAAGGTATTAGTACCGAATTAAGAAATACAAATTTTGGGGAGCAAAATTAACATTTTATCGAAAACATGGGTATCTTGTTCCCTTAAGTCTTATAAATGTGATTTGATTTGTAAATCAGTAGTTGATATTTGTATAGAGAACTATCCTTTTTTAAATTTTAAAAAAGATAAATTCATGTATCAGTAGTTCTCTTGATAGTTGTGATTAGTTTAGTTAAAGGAAATGTACTTAGAAAACTTCTCAATATACATGTATGGCTTGTAGAATTATTCCCAAATATCCAAACAATTTCTTGATCCCAGATCTTGGACCTACACAACAATGAGCTCAAGTGTCTACCTGATGACTTTGGTACCTTAGTCAGTCTACAGGTAAACCCACCTCTGTGATGTGGTCAGATCTTACAGTAGCGCTGTTATAAAAAGATGTTTAAGTAGTGACGTTGAAACAAAAGATTGCTGAGTAGTACTGTCATGATAAATTAATGTAAAATAAAATGTAAATTACTCTATTTAGTATCATATATAAAACCTATTTTTGTATCTTCTCATTTGATTTTTGTTTGTTTTTATTTCTATTATAGGTTCTAGATTTGTCTGGGAATCGTCTAAAAGAACTGCCCAAATCTTTTGAGAATATTCCATTGTTGCAGACCTTGAACCTGAGAGGTAACTTTTTTCGGCACATTTTTTTTCATTCGGTTGGGGAAATAGATGTAGGCCTCGTTAAATCATTTATTACTCTGAAAAATTGCTCTTGGCCTCGTTATATAATTTATTTAGTGGGAAAATTGCTCTTGGCCTCCTTACTTTTTTGACCTGTTAAAACATTTATTTGTCCAAACATTTATGGTACAAACTTGGAGTCACCAATTACACTGGATGTGTTTTAAAGATAAGCTAATTAGAGCTCATTGTTTTCATGCTTCTGATGTCCTTTATAGTGATTACATACCACTAATTACTAGTATGTATCACACATTTGATTTCTGTGTAATTTATTTGACCTTTCAGACAACCGTTTCTGTACATTCCCTGCTGTTGTTTGCCAACTAAAACGTCTGAGGACGCTGGACATCTCACACAACAGCATAGACACGCTGCCAGTCAAGTTGTGCTTTGTTAAAGCTTTGGAGACCTTGATACTGGACGTGGAGAAAATGAAGTTCCCGTCAGAGGGTAATTTGCCATATATGGTGTTTTATGGTTAATTGAATTGACTTTATCAGAGGGTAATTTGCCATATTTGGTGTTAATTGAGTTGACTATATCAATATGTGGTTTTTATAAGTTGACTCATTCGAGGTTAGGCTTTATTTGATGTTTTATGGTTAATTGAGTTGACTTTATCAATATCTATTTTTTATGACTGACTCAGTCGAGGTTAGGCTTTATCATCTGGCTTTAGGTAATATTACGTAGATTAGGATTGACTCAGGCAATATTTAGTATTTTATGGCTAACTCAGGCAATATTTGGGTTTTTATGACTGATTGGTCACATGACTATCATGTGACTGTTAGAGTAAAAGCCAGTATAAACTTTTTGTTTGCAGATGTCTGTAGAAAGAGCACAGCAGCGGTGATGATGTATCTGTGTGGACGTGAGTTCATTTTGTTTTCTTTCTTAGGCTGAAATGTTAGATTTTAAAATCATGATCAAAGTTTGTAAAATAATACATTACTATCACTTAGGCTGAAATGTTAGATTTTAAAATCTTGATCAAAGCTTGTAAAATAATACATTACTATCACTTAGGCTGAAATGTTAGATTTTAAAATCTTGATCAAAGTTTGTAAAATAATACATTACTATCACTTAGGCTGAACTGTTAGATTTTAAAATTTTGATCAAAGTTTGTAAAATAATACATTACTATCACTTAGGCTGAAATGTTAGATTTTAAAATCTTGATCAAAGTTTGCAAATAATACCTTACTATCACTTAGGCTGAAATGTTAGTTTTTAAAATCATGATCAAAGTTTGCAAATAATACCTTACTATCACTTAGGCTGAAATGTTAGTTTTTAAAATCTTGATCAAAGTTTGCAAATAATACCTTACTAGCATGTATGAAAAGTGAAGTTTAATTCTCATTTTCATAACCAATGAGAAATTTTGTTTTTCCTTTTGAGGATAACTTTCACCATACACAATTTGGATGAGTGAAATAAAAAAAAACACTTTGAAATTTATAATTGCCACCAGGAAAAACCTGAGATCACCTCAAGTTGTTGTTAGAAACATGGTTACGCCTCCTGTTTCTGACAGAAATATTTTTTTTCTTTTCTGGTTGTCAGTGACATCTCTGCACAAAATATTTTATTGTCTTATTAACACATAACTTTAAAATCTAGTTGGATGAAAAAAATATTTATATCCTGGAACAGAAGCATAGATAGTTACATCTCTGCACAAAATATTTTATTGTCACATTAACACACATCTTTTAAATCTAGTTGGATGAAAAAATGTTTATATATTTGAACAGAAGCATAGATAGTTACATCTCTGTGCGAAGTATTTTATCGTCTCATTAACACATCTATTAAATCTAGTTGGATGAAAATATTATATGCACAGATAGAGTATTAACACCCCTCCTAATTTTGGCTGAAAGTTTTTTTATTATCAACAGAAACACAGAGTGTAAACCCTCCCCCCCCCCCCCCCACCCCCCAATTTTGGCTCCAAGTTTTTTATTATTAAAAGAAGCACAGATAGAGTATGAAAACCCCTCCAAATTTTGGCTCAAAGCTTATTTTATTATTATCAACAGAAGCACAGATAGAGTATGAACACCCCTTCAATTTTTTTATTATCAACAGAAGCACAGATAGAGTATGAACACCCCTCTAAAGTTTAGCTCAAAGTTTTTTTAATATCAACAGAAGCACAGATAGAGTATGAGCACCCCTCCAAATTTTGGCTGAAGGTTGAAGCTGCCAACAAGGGGCTTAAGTCCTCCTCTAGTGATGGTTACCTCAATGTTGCCCAGATAGAGAGCCAGATGATGGTGGGTGCTTGCAGATATTTCTAACTATCCAAGAAACTAACTTAATTTAACGTTTCATATTTAATATTCCTTTTTTGTTTGATTTATGCTGGATCTTCTCTTTAGTGTTGGTTAACTGATGTCATGCACATTTTTTTCTAGTTTATCCAACATAGCATACACAGTTTGTTTAATTCACTTGTTATCATACACAATTATTTTCTCAGGAAGGAGTACAAGCATATCAAAATATACTCGTAAGTTTAATGATTTAAATCTTCTTTTGTAAAAAATTTGCCTATTTTTTTAAGATCTAGTCTACTTGATTAAGATTGGTTTTAATGATTAAATTAATTTCTTTAGATACTGTATTCACTTAAACAACAGCTTATATATATATCATGACATCTAGGATCAAAAGCGTAAAGACGCAGAAGAATTGGAGCGTTTCTTGTATGAGGAGAATGAGGCACAGACGCAGTTGGCTGTCAATGCTGCATATAACCAGAGACAACTCCTGTCTAGCATAACCCAGGTTAGTTCCCCTGGTTTTGTACTCTTTGGTTAAGTCTGTTCTAAAACAGAAACAAAAAAATTCCATCTTTTGTGTATGACCTGGTCTACTCACATGAAGGTAACATGGCTTAGATTTTTTAACTTTGTTATAACCTTTGTACTGCCAATTGCTACAATTATTCTGCCTCTGATAATTCTACTTTCTGCTCTACTTTCTAAACTTGCAGCACACAGAACAAGACTCAGAAGATCTGCTCAATCTAAACAACAGGAAAGAGATGGAGAAAGAAGAGTTCCTCAAGTACTTGAATGACAGTAAGTCCAAACATACTTGTCAGAAGTTTTTACTTTTACACTGTTTTTAGTTTTTTAACTGGTGAAATAACATAATTTCTGCATTTCTCATCAGTTGAAAATGGAATTAGCAGTCTTCTGACTGAGATACTTGACTTCAACACAAAGGCTAAAGAGACGGAGAGGCTGTTGGAGCTGATGGAAGAGGAAAGGTGAGTGTCTTGGTGTTACGTCCACCCTCAGCTGCTGACCTTAGCCCAGTGTTTTACGCTTTACCTACTACTTAAATAAACAGTTAAATGCTATAAATATCTATCTTCAGAATGAAAGAAGATGATTGGTTGAAAGTCAGATGGGAGGAACTACAAAATGTTAGGAAGAAGGAAATTTTAGGTACGTATTTTCAAAAAACTATTTTCTTTAGTTGAGTGTGTTTTAAAAGCACCAGCTTTTAGGTGGTCTTGATGTGTAGTTGATCTTTTGGCCAGCATAAAGCTGAGACATTTTTAAACCCTCTACCAACCCCTCATGATGTTGATCTAATATATCACCCTGTAGCTGAACTCAGACTCTCATCATTGGGCTCAGACTACTGCTAGTACAAACAGTATCAAATGGTATCCTATTTTGTTCTAAGAGAACATGAAGGTGATGTATATTAGCCACAGTGATAGATGCTATAAAAATGATTTTCTCCCCCCCCCCCCCCCCCCCCCCAGAGAACATGCAGGTGATGTTGCGAGAGTTTGCCAGCATGGAAGCAGCCAGAGAGTGTGTGGAGATGATGAAGGGAGAGATAGCCAGAGACGCCTTAGATCAGTGAGTTGCATCTTGTGGTGTTCAGACGAACAACTCTTTCTCTTAAATTTGAAAAACGTACATTTTTCAGACTTGATAGCTTATAGGGCAGGTGAACTAGTGTTGTCAGCCTCTGATGTTAGCACATAAAGGATTTTATTGCCAGCACTCTGCCACACAGACTTTCCCTGACACAGGTCAGGTACCCATTAGAGCTGGGTTGACTCATCTGTATTGTGGCGTCTATACACAAACATTGAAACCTACAATTATTGAATATTTTTCTTCTTTTTTGAGATATTTTCACACTGTACATAGAAATTAGCTGTCTATAAAAAAGAATAGAGTAGCCTAGCAAAAAGTAAAGCAACCTTCTTCAAATAGTTCCTTTCTTCTAGAGAGAACTTTGATGTTGGACAGATGCACAGCCTGATACACTTCAAGGACATAGAGAACCAGAAGATTGTCCAGCAGCTAGCAGAAGAGGTTTGTACTGCCAGCAAGGGGAGATCACTCCTCTTTAAAACATATAACTCTTTAGTTAATAGAAACAGAATGTCCCTGACAACATAAGAACTTTATTTAAGATGTTATGGGGTCGGCGTGGTCGAGTCGGTAAAGCTCATGGTTGCTAAACCGAAAAGTGTCGAGTTCGAGCCCTCGGGCAGATGAGGCTCGTTAGCTGGGGACAGCCACTCTTCTAGGAGAGAAAACTCCAAAATTAAACAACTGCTGCCTTGTAGTTTGTTCTTGGTTGGACAAAGGCTATGGAAGCAAATCCAAAAAGAAAAGCAGGCTGAAATCGGAGTCAATGGCCTCAATGGCGCATAACCAGTTGACACGTAACGCTTAATTGTGTTGGAGGCGTGGTCGAGTCGGCTAAAAACCTCATGGTTGATAAATTCGAACAAAGTCTCGAGTTCAAACCCACTGGCAGATAAATCTCGATCCCCTTCAACACTAATAATTAAGAACGAAGAAGAAGAAGAAGAAAGATGTTATAAAACCTGTAGAATGTTTGTTCAAATGCTAAACACTGCCATTTCTCCCCCTGCACTAGGAGGAGCTACAGAAGACGGCGTTTGAAGCTCTGCTGATATCCCAGGACTCCGCCCACTCCCGCATCATGGCACAGATTGTCCTCATAGAGTCCGAGCTGGCACAGCTGACCGCTATAGAGATGGACCAGAGAGCTAAACGGATGCAACACCAGTTTGTACGCTGAAAATTCTGTACAAATAGATTTGAATTTCTATAGAGGAGTTTTAAAGATACTTTTGCGCTGTGAAAAAAGCTAATTTTTTTACACATACTTTGAGTTTATTTTATATTTAGTGATTGATGAAAAAATAATGATGGTTCATTTAATAAGATATTTTAACCATATATTTTGCTATATTTTTTTTATATCTTAAACCAATTGGTAATATTTTCAAAACGTTAAAAAGAACATGATATACTGGAAAAAAAGTAAATAATACTGTATGTAAATTATCTCCCTTGCCCAGAACATTGTAGCTGATCAGAGGATTGCCCTGTCTGCCATGTTGTCACAGCTACTGGAGGAGAAGGAGAAACGTAAAGCTGAGCTCAAAAAGAGGCTGGTCAGTTATTTTTCCTTGTGTGCTTGTGTATTTAGTTCAAAAAGAGGCTGGTCAGTTAATTTTGCTTGTGTGCTTGTGTATTTAGTTCTAAAATAGGCTGGTCAGTTATTTTTGCTTGTGTGCATGTGTATTTAGTTCTAAAAGAGGCTGGTCAGTTAGTTTTGCTTGTGTGCTTGTGTATTTAGTTCTTAAAGAGGTTGGTCTGTTTGTTTTGCTTGCGTATTTTAATTTAGTTAAAAAAGAGGCTGGTCAGTTAATTTTGCTTGTGTGCATGTGTATTTAGTTCTTAAAGAGGCTGGTCTGTGTGTTTTGCTTGTGTATTTTAATTTAGTTCAAAAGAGGGTGATCAGTTTAATTTGCTTTTGTGCTGTATAATTTGCTTTTGTGCTGTATTTAGTTGAAAAAGAGGCTGGTCTGTTATTTTAGCATGTGTTTTTGTATATTTAGTAGAAAAAGAGGCTAGTATGATAATTTGCTTGTATGCTGGTATATTTAGTTCAGAAAGAGGCTGGTCAGTGACCTACTTTCTGGTACTACTTCTGTTTGCTAAATAACCCAGTCATAAAACTAAGTCCCAGAATAAAACTGGTGTCATGAAATATTTCTCTCCGCCAGATTGAAATGGAGCAACAGAGGGAGGAGGGACAACAAGACTACTGGCTGGTTCAGTACCAGAGGCTACTGGACTGGAAGCCCCAGTCCCTCATTGATAGGGTCAGTTTGTTTTATCAGATGGGGTCAGTTTGTTTTGTCAGACGGGGTCAGTTTTTGTTGTCAGATGGGGTCAGTTTTTTAATTGGCTGGGGTTTCAGATCTGACAATTCTTTTGGTTTAATGAAAAAAGGTAACTCCATTGATGAGCCTAACCTTCCATATTAATGCCAATGGTTCTCATTTCCATAATTTAAGTTTTAAATTAATTGTCATTCTTTGACCACATCACCAGGAGAGTCAGCTTGAAATAGCTGTCAAAGAAATCCTGATTTCCTCCGGTGCCGAGGATTACATTCCTGTGTTTGCCAGACATCGCATCACCATAGAAACCATGATGACCTTGACTGACAGCGACCTGCGTCAGATGGGTGTTCATGAAATGGGGATCAGAAAGTCCATCGTCAAGAACATTGAGCTTCAGCAAACAGACTACAAGAAAACACCAGCTCATGACAAGATAAGGGTCAGTCCTGTTGTTTTAATTAAATATTTATTTCAGTGTCAGTGGGCTTACAACATTGGAGAATGTTGGTCAGTTTATTTATATGACCCTTAACTAGCTGGTGTGGAAATTAACAAGATCAGTAAAAACATACATTCGGTATTTTATCATATGTAGTTTAGATATGTTTGAAAGTTAATTTTAACTTTGATATGCTTTCTTGCAAAAAAGCAGCGGGAAATGTTTTTAGACGTATTAATTAAATTTAGTAGCAATGTTAGTAATCTAGGGAAAGAGATAGGGCAGCTAAGGTGTTTTTTTTTAAATAGGCTGTGTTTTTGGATTTAATTGAATTGTTTAATGTTTACTTTTAAAATGTCGTTTTTAATATTGGACTATTTTCTTGAATAGATCGATTAGAAATAAATGTGAGGTTGTTTTTTTATGAAAAGGACTTGACTAAAGCTTTTGCTTTATCCCATAACCAATCCTGACTTTATCCAGGAGCCAGCCCTCCCCCTCCCTATGAATTCCTGCCTACAGCCCCCACAATATTTCTTGTTACCTTATCCCCAGGAGCCAGCCCCACCCCCACATGAAGTTCTGCCTACAGCCCCCACAATATTTCTTGTTACCTTATCCCCAGGAGCCAGCCCCACCCCCACATGAAGTCCTGCCTACAGCCCCCACTATAACATTTCTTGTTGCCTTATCCCCAGGAGCCAGCCCTCCCTCCCTATGAAGTCCTGCCTACAGCCCCCACAATATTTCTTGTTGCCTTATCCCCAGGAGCCAGCCCCACCCCCACATGAAGTCCTGCCAACAGCCCCCACAATGCCTGAGCTGACCAGACAGCCTTCACTTCCTGCTGCTCTGCTGGAGAGACAACTCTCTGTCACAGCCAGGGGACTTAACTCTGAATGTGCCATTTGTCTGGATAAACAAGTTTGTTTGGTTTATTTACATTTTACTGCTAATTTGATCCTTTAAAAACAAAATTATTGTTCTCTTTTTACTGCTAATTTGATGCTTTAAAAACAATGTTATTTTTCTTTTTTACTGCTAATTTAATGCTTTAAAAACAAAGTTATTTTTCTTTTTTTTTATGATCCTTTGCAGACACAATTATTTTCCTTTTTTTACTGCTAATTAGAACTTTTAAAAACATAATTATTTCATTTTACTGTTAGTTTAATCCTTAAAAAAATATATATTTTCATTTACATATTTACATTAAACATGGTTTCTATTTTATTTTTATTTTTCATTAAGTCAGAAAATATTATTTACCTCTCCAGTCCAGCATTATATTAAGTCTGTAAAATATTATTTACCTCTCCAGTCCAACATCATATTAAGTCTGTAAAATATTATTTACCTCTCCAGTCCAACATCATATTAAGTCTGTAAACTATTATTTACCTCTAGTCCAACATCATATTAAGTCTGTAAACTATTATTTACCTCTCCAGTCCAACATCATATTAAGTCTGTAAAAAAAAATTATTTACCTTTAGTCCAACATCATATTAAGTCTGTAAAATATTATTTATCTCTCTAGTCCAACATCATATTAAGTCTGTAAAATATTATTTACCTCTCCAGTCCAACATCATATTAAGTCTGTAAAATATTATTTACCTCTCCAGTCCAACATCATATTAAGTCTGTAAACTATTATTTACCTCTCCAGTCCAACATCATATTAAGTCTGTAAAATATTATTTACCTCTCCAGTCCAACATCATATTAAGTCTGTAAACTATTATTTACCTCTATAGTCCAACATCATATTAAGTCTGTAAACTATTATTTACCTCTCCAGTCCAACATATTAAGTCTGTAAACTATTATTTACCTCTATAGTCCAACATCATATTATTGGGTCCGTAGCGGACCTTGAATCCTTGAAAAACCCTTGAATTCCAAAAAACATCTCAAGGCCTTGAAAAACCTTTGAATTTCCCCAAAAATGAGCAAAAACCCTTGAATTTTATAGGTAAACCTTGAAAACCGTGCGTAAATCGAATTTTTAAAAAAATTCAATTCTGATGGATCTAAATTTTTTCTGGCTTTTTTTTTTTTTTTGCCGTGGGTCTGCGTTAACTTCGGAGTCTACTATTTCCAACCCTCTCCTTCGCTGAGCCTCGTGGTATGACCTAAAACTGACCAGTTTTGCATAGGCTCTTCCTAACCTAGATTCTAGATCGTGATGTAAACGATAGCCGAGGGCTAAATTTAGCATAGTTTTTTTGGATATCTCCGTTTACGAACGAGTTACTAGATTCTAGATCTAGATTCATTGTTTTCTGTTAGGGCCTACCTACTTGTACGGTTTTGTCCGTAATTTTTCGATTTTGACACCCCTGTTGCGGAATTAGGCGCAAATGTTACGCAAAAGCCCACAGTAAACATCAAAATCGATTTAGTGTCGACCTTTTTTTTTTCTTGTGTTAAATTTCCGTGTTATCGGGTTCTATGGTTTCAAACATCTTCAATCATAACAATCGACGCCTCAAATCCCTTCCCGACAATATCTCGGCAGTCGTTGGCTCTATATTGTGAACTTTATTGACCCCGCGAGTGGTCTGTTGTCTCCTGATCGGTGATGTCCGTAAAGAAAAAAATTGTAATGTGGCCTAAATCATTAAAATTCTGGTCGCGCATGGAAATTATCTCAATTATAATTAAACCTACATCTAGAACTAATATTTTTTCTTCAAGAAAATAAGCCTTAGGTTTAAATAAGAAAAGAATAGCCTGAACTATGCGAGCGTAGGTTTCTATTTATTTAAATTAAAATTTTCTCGGTGTGGGTTAAACACAAAAGGGCGAAATGTAGCTGCCGAATTACGGGTAAATAGGGAGACATAATTTATCGAGTTATTGTGTTCTGTTGTTTTAGATGTGCGAGAAGACACGTTTTTACGAACCTAGATCAATCACGGTTCTTTGTGTACCCCACGATAGCAGATGTTTCGGTCACTGCGACCTTAGAAGGTCTTCTAGGTCTATCTCAACTTACAGTGACCTCGCAGTATATTAATAATTAATATAGTCGTGGATCTAGATCTAGATGTTTAACTATTAACCAACAAGATTTCCTAATGCCTAATACCAATAGGCATATTTATCACGTTCGTTAAAAAAACCAATAGCAAATGACGTAATCGTCAATCTCACGTGGGCTATGGACCAAATACACATTGACTGTATCAGATGGGTGAGGCTGTAGACAGAACTTTTTGATGTCATTCTTGACATGGCTGTCTGGTTATTTATGACGATATGGGTTGGGGGTAAACAGTGTTTCTTCCAGACTTTTTTCTCCGGGGGGGCACTTGAAATCTTCGGGGGGGCGGTAAACTTTCTTCGGGGGGGCGGACACTGTTAAAAGTATATATTTTCTATATAAAATATATAAATTTCATTTCGTTCGGGGGGGCGGTAAAAAATTTTCGGGGGGGCTTTGCCCCCCCGAAGAGATGCCTGGAAGAAACTCTGGGGGTAAAATTCGCATTAATTACGTGACGTCATCAATGGGCTACCGCTAGGCTATGTAATTTTTAAAAAAAACTAAATCCTAACATTACCAGCTCATTAGCATCGCCGATTGTCTTCTTAAAAAAAGGAAAGATTTTGCGCCGACGTAAAATTTTTTTTGTATTTATCAAAAGAAAAGAAAAATAATTTGAAGGACTATGACTGTGCTGTTTTCACTCAACTTTACGGACACTTTTTACCACCTCTCACTTCAAAGTCGCGCTGACCGTAAGACCTACGACACGAGACCACGGGCGAGCACAGTAGTGTCTCACGGTCAAAGCAGTTCTACAAAAGCTGTTTATCTAATTTTAACGTGGTTATCTTTAATATTGGGCTTACTGCTAGATTAAAGCGAAAACAAAAACTAGATCTGCATCGTTTTAGGTCATTGAACAAAATATGTAGGTCTGCTATAATTTAGTTACACCATCTAGCAGGGTCTAGATCTAATTGCTTTTTACTGTGGTAAAACGTCCTTGAAATGTTTAAGAAGCCTCGAATTACCGTGTTTGAGAAAATTGCCGCTGTCACTGCCCCCTCCCATCCGCTTGTAAAAAAAAATCCGCTTCTCACTTTGTCGGGCGGCTACATCTCTGACATGAGTATTACTAGCGTAGTTACTTGTGAAATTGTTTTAAAAAAAACAACTTAATTCTGTTATTCCGTGATATGAACTAACTTAAAACTTCCACGATATTTCTTTACGTCATCATGTATATCATAGGTGGGGACATTGGGGTCGTCCATAAATGACGTCACACTCGTAGGGGGAGGGGGGATCCGTAATCGTGTGACGGTGTGTGATGAGGGGATGGGGGGGGGGGGGTCAGATCGTGTGACATCACACTTTTGCATTATTAAAAAGCAATGTTAGAAAACGAATTTTAGAATTTTAGAAAACTGTTTTAATAAATTGTAAAAGGAATTGATTAAAATACTCTATTTTGACAGAGTTCAGACAAGATTTTGGTGAAAAAATCCTATTTTAAGAAAAATTGAACTGCAATCAAGGGGGGGGGTGTGGGAGGGGTTACAGGCTGAGGTGTGACGTCATTTTAGAGGGCGGGGCCTGGCTTTTTGTGATGTGTGACGGAGGGGGGGGGGGAGAGGTAATAACCTTTTAAAAAGCGTGAGGTCATTTATGACATTAAGCAGGATAATTTCTACAAGCATAGCTAGGTTTTTTTTTTGTTTCTATATGTGTGCAGAGTCCTTTTTAAAGGAATATGTGTGCAGAGTCCTTTTTAAAGGACTATCAGACAGACTAACCAATGCTTCCTTTTATGTATAATGACCTGATTCTGATTATCACTTGACATTGACAAGTCATTCAATCGAAGTTGGGTTTGTTGCTGACTCTCTAATAAAGTCTCTAGAAAAAATAAAAAAAGCAAGTGAGCTTCAAATTCTCAATTTCAAATCTGATTGTAAGACAACTTTGATAGGATTTTCATCAAATTTTTTTTTGAAATCTCCATTACTTTAGTCATTAGTGAGAGAATTAGCCTAATGCAAATGTTTAAAAATAGAGCCAGTTCACCAAAAAAATGAAGGGAATTCTTCACATCCTAGTCAACAAATGGAAACTGAAATCAGCTGAGTGTGACCAAGTTCTGTTTCAATTTTCAACATTCATAGATACATGTACTCTAAATGGTTGTCTATCTAAATCTAATTGAGAACATGATAGGCTGGACATTTTTTTTCCATAGAACAGCTTGGTAGCAAAATTTCTTATGTGAACATTTGGAAAATTGTTAGAGATCTATTGCTTCTGTCACATGGTCAAGCCAGTGTTGAAAGAGGTTTTTCTGAAAATAGAAGTTGGAGGAGTGTCATTTGACACCAAAGATACTGATTGCAATAGGGATTATGCTGGACTCACAGACAATCTCCTGACTTAGATAATTTTGAAAATAAACCGGGAGTGATCTCCCCTAAACTTTCTCGAATATTCTTATATAAAATAACAGGGGATGGGAACTCGGGCTATAGACATGATTTTTAATCCATTTTAAATACTTAAAGTTTTAAAAATAGAATAAAATCTCGTAGACAAATTAATTGCACACCAAGTGAACGCGAAATAAAAAAGCGCATAATAGTGTGCAATATTATTATTACTTTTAAAATTTACATTAGTTTTTTGAGAAATCGGAAGTAGCGTAAAGTACTACTTCCAGTCAACGGAAACGACTCAAAATTTAATAGAAGGTAGAGAATTAGATCTTTTACTTACGTATGAAATTTCATTTATCTATCTGAAATAGTACTCAAGTTATAGGCTTTTGAAAAATTCAAAGTAGGAAAAGTACCACTTCCGGTTATCGGAAATCGCTCAAAAGTTGATACGGATCTACGATTTTGATTAAATACTTATATATGAAATTTCATCAACCTAGCTGTAACGGTACTCAAGTTATCGTGTTTACACACGGACACACACACACACACACACACACACACACACAGACACACAGACATACGGACAAGATTGCAAAATTATGTTTTTCCGTATCAGTGAGATGCAAAACGTCGAGATTTGCAAAAATCTCGATTTTTTTTTTTTGCACGATTACAAGACTTTCTCTATACTTCGTATATACGAGAAAGTAAAAACACCAAAATTATTTCAAAAATTGTGTGTGCAAAAAACATACATCACCCTCATTGTAATGCCCGTTAGTGGTAGTTTATACCTTGAAATTCCCCCCAAAATCACCTTGAAAACCTTGAAAAAGCCTTGAATTTTCTTTTGGGATTTGGCTATGGACCCTGTATTAAGTCTGTAAAATATTATTTACCTCTCCAGTCCAACATCATATTAAGTCTGTAAACTATTATTTACCTCTCCAGTCCAACATCATATTCCTGACCTGCGGCCATGTCTGCTGCTGTTCCACCTGTGCGCTACCTGTCAAAGAGTGTCCCTTGTGCCGTGCCAACATTTCTGCCAAAATTAGAATTTCCCTGCCGTCCTGAGTCACCACCCACATGGGCTAGACAAAGAGCAGGTAACCATGGAAACGTAAGGACTGGATTAGTGCTAAGAACTGTGTTCAAATGAGGTAGAACAAAGTTTTGAGTCAAGTTTTCTTCCAGTGTCAGCTATTCTGTAAAACTGGCCTTAATTTTTTATTGACTAATGCAGATGTATATTTTAAGGGGTCGCCCATGAACTATGTCACTCTTTGTCTGATGAGTTTTTCCTTCCCCTACCTTTGTTACACACTGTCACAAAAAGTCAGACCGCCCTACTCCCCAAAATGACATCACACTTCAGCCCACTAAAAGTCTATTAAAAATATGTTTAAATTGCAAAAGTGTTGTCAAATTGTCTTAACCTCCTCCCCCCTTCCCCCCCCCCCATGTCCAAAGTCCCCACCCCCATGAGTGTGTCATTATTTTTGGATGACCCCTTATAATAGCACACATTTTTTTTATACATTAGCTGTTCCATTGTTTCTCCATCGTCTGTGTTCCCCCTTTTTGTAAGGGTCATTGTTGGACAATCTAGACCTGATTGGTTGAAGAAGTTGGTCAAGTTTAATTTCCACTCAAGGTGTGCTGTTGATGTTTACAGTTCTTTACCTATACCTGTACATTTCAACTCAAGGTGTTCTTTACCTATACCTGTACATTTCAACTCAAGGTGTTCTTTACCTATACCTGTACAACTCAAGGTGTGCTGTTGATGTTTACAGTTCTTTACCTATACCTGTACATTTCAACTCAAGGTGTTCTTTACCTATACCTGTACAACTCAAGGTGTGCTGTTGATGTTTACAGTTCTTTACCTATACCTGTACAACTCAAGGTGTTCTTTACCTATACCTGTACAACTCAAGGTGTGCTGTTGATGTTTACAGTTCTTTACCTATACCTGTACATTTCAACTCAAGGTGTTCTTTACCTATACCTGTATAACTCAAGGTGTGCTGTTGATGTTTACAGTTCTTTACCTATACCTGTACATTTCAACTCAAGGTGTTCTTTACCTATACGTGTACAACTCAAGGTGTGCTGTTGATGTTTACAGTTCTTTACCTATACCTGTACATTTCAACTCAAGGTGTTCTTTACCTATACCTGTACAACTCAAGGTGTGCTGTTGATGTTTACAGTTCTTTACCTATACCTGTACATTTCAACTCAAGGTGTTCTTTACCTATACCTGTACAACTCAAGGTGTTCTGTTGATGTTTACAGTTCTTTACCTGTACATAAGCTTTAGCTCCTGCTGTTGGTTGTGTCGTCTGGACAGAAATTAAGATTTTTTAAATTATTTAATAATTGAACTTGTTTCACATTACAGTCCACATTTAGGGGAGGTAACTTATACATTTTGTTGGTTCCTAGAAAAATGCACAATTGGAAACTGTGCTATGAAAAAATATGTAAACAGAAATATCGCAAATACAAATTATACTAATACCCTGATTTTGTTATATTATGTGGAAATATGTTTTATTATGCTACAGTATACATACAGTCACTCTTTGTTAACATCTTTAAATGCTCAATTTAAGAAAACAAAAATGCCCCTGTGCACTTTTTTTGTGTGCAGTTTTCTGTTGCACATCTTTCTGTTTACCTGTTTTGTTTAGCATAAGATAAACCCAAGAGAATAGTACACATTTGGTGAAAGAACTAAAGCACATTTGTCATTAGGCCATTGTCTACTGCTCTGTGACAATGGTAGTTTAACTGTGTTGGCATTGAAGCTGTTTTGTTGACAGTGTTGATAGGTCTACAGTGTTGATAGGTCTACAGTGTTGATAGGTCTACAGTGTTGATAGGTCTACAGTGTTGATAGGTCTACAGTGTTGATAGGTCTTTACTGTTGATAGGTCTACAGTGTTGATAGGTCTACAGTGTTGATAGGTCTACAGTGTTGATAGGTCTACAGTGTTGATAGGTCTACAGTGTTGATAAGTCTACAGTGTTGATAGGTTACAGTGTTGATAGGTCTACAGTGTTGATAGGTCTACAGTGTTGATAGGTCTACAGTGTTGATAGGTCTACAGTGTTGATAGGTCTACAGTGTTGATAGGTCTACAGTGTTGATAGGTCTACAGTGTTGATAGGTCTACAGTGTTGATAGGTCTACAGTGTTGATAGGTTACAGTGTTGATAGGTTACAGTGTTGATAGGTCTACAGTGTTGATAGGTCTACAGTGTTGATAGGTTACAGTGTTGATAGGTCTACAGTGTTGATAGGTCTACAATGTTGATAGGCCCAGAGTGTTGATAGGCCTACAGTGTTGATAGGCCTACAGTGTTGATAGGTCTACAGTGTTGATAGGTCTACAGTGTTGATAGGTCTACAGTGTTGATAGGTCTACAGTGTTGATAGGTCTACAGTGTTGATAGGTCTACAGTGAGGCCCACAGTGTTGATAGGTCTACAGTGTTGATAGGTCTACAGTGTTGATAGGCCTACAGTGTTGATAGGTCTACAGTGTTGATAGGTCTACAGTGTTGATAGGTCTACAGTGTTGATAGGTCTACAATGTTGATAGGCCTACAGTGTTGATAGGTCTACAGTGTTGATAGGTCTACAATGTTGATAGGTCTACAATGTTGATAGGTCTACAATGTTGATAGGCCTACAGTGTTGATAGGTCTACAGTGTTGATAAGTCTACAGTGTTGATAGGTCTACAGTGTTGATAGGTCTACAGTGTTGATAGGTCTACAGTGTTGATAGTCATACAGTGTTGATGAAATGTTAACTTTCACATTAATATTTTTAAAAAAATCATTTGCACCAAACTTTACTGAATGCTATTTAGTGGATATCATGTAGTTAAAAAAACTCTTGTATAGCTCTAGTACAGGGGTTCCCAACCCTGTGCCCGCGGGCGCCATTGCGCCCACCGAACGATTCGTGTGTGCCCGCCTCTCACTATTCAACAGAGACAAAAAATTTTTCTAAAACATTATTGAAAGGTTGAAGGGAATGGAAATCAAAAGTTTGAGGGGGGGGGGGGGGTGGGTGCAAATCGAAAGTTTGAGGGGGGGAGGTGCAAATCAAAAGCTTGAGGGAGGGGGTGCAAATCGAAAGTTTGAGGGGGGGGGTTCAAATCGAAAGTTTTGTCCCCTGGTGAAGGGAAGGGTCGTTACGCCTCTGGAAGGAGTTTGTTCGATTTAAAATAGGTGGTGCCCGCCACCCTACCGATATTTTAGAATGTGCTCTAAAGTACAAAAATGTTGGGAACCCCTGCTCTAGTAGGTGTACTCCCCCTACATCTGTAATAGGTGTACTCCCCTACAGCTGTAATAGGTGCACTCCCCTACAGCTGTAATAGGTGCACACCCCTACATCTGTAATGTAATAGGTGCATTCCCCCTACAGCTGTAATGTAATAGGTGAGCTCCCCCTACAGCTGTAATAGGTGCACTCCCCCTAAAGCTGTAATAGGTGCACTCCCCCTACAGCTGTAATGTAATAGGTGCACTCCCCCTACAGCTGTAATGTAATAGGTGCACTCCCCCTACAGCTGTAATAAGTGCACTCCCCCTACAGCTGTAATAGGTGCACTCCCCCTACAGCTGTAATAGGTGCACTCCCCCTACAGCTGTAATAGGTGCACTCCCCCTACAGCTGTAATGTAATAGGTGCACTCCCCCTACATCTGTAATGTAATAGGTGCACTCCCCCTACAGCTGTAATGTAATAGGTGCACTCCCCCTACAGCTGTAATAGGTGCACTCCCCCTACAGCTGTAATAGGTGCACTCCCCCTACAGCTGTAATAGGTGCACTCCCCCTACAGCTGTAATGTAATAGGTGCACTCCCCCTACAGCTGTAATGTAATAGGTGCACTCCCCCTACAGCTGTAATAGGTGCACTCCCCCTAAAGCTGTAATAGGTGCACTCCCCCTACAGCTGTAATGTAATAGGTGCACTCCCCCTACAGCTGTAATGTAATAGGTGCACTCCCCCTACAGCTGTAATAGGTGCACTCCCCCTACAGCTGTAATAGGTGCACTCCCCCTACAGCTGTAATAGGTGCACTCCCCCTACAGCTGTAATAGGTGCACTCGCCCTACAGCTGTAATAGGTGCACTCCCCCTACAGCTGTAATGTAATAGGTGCACTCCCCCTACAGCTGTAATAGGTGCACTCACCCTACAGCTGTAATGTAATAGGTGCACTCCCCCTACAGCTGTAATAGGTGCACTCCCCCTACAGCTGTAACTGGTGCACTCCCCCTACAGCTGTAATAGGTGCACTCCCCCTACAGCTGTAATAGGTGCACTCCCCCTACAACCAAAGCTTAGATTTGTGCTGTAACTTATAATCAGTACAGTTTCGTCTCCATGTGCATGGAGTTGTTTTAGTTTAGAGAGAAGATCTTTTAGTTAACTATAATCCTCTATGTGTATGGAGTTGTTTTAGTATAGAGAGAAGATCTTTTAGTTAACTATAATCCTCCATGTGCACATGGTTGTTTCACTGTTGGGATATCTTCTAGCTAAGTATAATCTACCACATTTGTTCAGCAAAAAAATGTATCAACCATTATTTTTTTATACCCCCAAAAAAAACTGAAGTATTATTTAATGGTTTATTTTATACTTTAATGTTTGTTTTTGAGTCGTTATTTAATAATTTATTTCATAGCTTTTATTTATTTTTAAAAACATTTAATTTTTTTTTTTAATAATTTCATTTTATAATTGATTTAATGCTTGTGTCTTGCCAAATTTTACCTATGAACTAATTGTTTTTTTTTTTAAATTGTTGATGTAGATGAAATTAAGAAGTTAGCTCCTTGATATATTGTCCTATATTTTTTTCAAGTTCAACCGCTTGCAATGTCTACCATATTTATCCCAGCAAAAATAAAAAATAAATAGTATCCAACAACACGGGACCAACCCATTTAAAATCTGGCTGGTTTAAGTTTTTAAAAAACCTGGTTTAAGTTTTTAAAAAACCTGTCTGAGCAGAATTTAATACATTATTTTAAAGAGGCTGAAGTTTTGTTATTTCTCTTTTGTTTATACATCTAACATCAATTAATTTATTTACCTAAACAATGTGATCCAGGGTTAATTAAATAATTTAATTAACAACACTAAAAGGTTTGATATTTTTGCTACTCATTATTTAGTTTTTAATTGCTATTTACTATTGTGTTGAATTCAACTATTTTTTTGTTGTTTTTGTTTAGTTATAAACCTGAACCTGGCTGTGAAAAATGTATGAATCACAGTCTACACTTTTGTTACAATATTTTGTAAAAATTTATTTTCCTAATTTCTTTTTCATTAAAAAAATCATCAGTCTTTCTAAATTTATGTGTGTATTGTTTGAGATATGATGCTCAAATATTAAATAGAACATTGCAAAGTTAGAAATAAAGGTAATCTATCGTTTTGGGTACGTAAAATCGCCCGCGGCTATTAATGTACGAAAACGTTACCTCATTGTCAAGGCTGTAATAGAAGTATATTGTGATATGTTTGTGTCAAATATTATAGATAAATGAATAATAAACCTAAATCAATGGCTAAATATATCAATATAGGCCAGAAATTAACTTTAAACAGCAGTGTCTGCAAGCAAGATTTGCTATATAAACAGCAGCCATTTGTAAAATAGAGTGACTTCCGCCTGAATCTCGCGCTATAAGTCAATAAAAATAAAACTTTAACAAGATGGCTGCTATAGTAAATGAGCATGGTTGCATCTGTTGAAAACATCACTGGTGTTCATTTATTACTGAAAAGTTTTAATTCAATTGTTTAAAAACAGGTACATAAATGAAACAAGGAAACATTTTTGTATTTTTCAAAACATAAATCCTCCTCAAAATGTGAAATGATTATTAAAATGTAAGGAGTCACCTGTTTTTCACATTACTAGTCGCGGGTGATTTTACGTATCTAAAACGATAGATTACCGAAATAAAGTAACATTTATTTAGTGAGTGGCAACTCAATTAAGAAACCACTCTTTTGCTATGTGAATGTTTTTTAAGTATAGGAAATTGTTAAAATATTGTGTTTGTTAGAAAGGACAATGTTAAAATTTATTTGCTTTGAATTTTATTAAAAAGAAAACAAAATAATAAAGAAAAACTTTATTTAAACTGTTGTTAAATAAATATAAGGAAATCATTGTTTGTTTTGACTGGTGTATTTAACCTTCGACCTTTAATCTAACAAAGATGAAAGTAGCAAGTAGCATTTACAGATAGCATGTGTTCATAGACTAATTGCATTGACATTTTTGTGAACGTTATCATGACAAAAAAATCTAGAAAATTAAGTAAAATAAATTTAACTGTTAATACCACTTGCAGTTCTGTGCATCAAATTGTGAACTTAATTATTGCGCCCATGATAACATAATGTAAACAAAAATACATTTTCTCACAATTTTAGTGTGTTTACAGTATCATCATTGTTGTGACCCAGATCTATTTACTACCACACAGGAGATTCACTCTTTCTAGCTTTATAGTTTTACTATAAACTATGTTGTACAAAGATATTTTTAAAAATTATTTATTCCTAATGACAGGGTTATGATCAGTATTTATGTTGTAGAAATTTTTTTTTTGTTGCTGAATATATTTCTAGAATATAAAAAGCTGTTTCTTGAAAATTTATCATAAAAAATTGAAATGTTACAAATTGGTTTTTAATTGTTTCTAATTTTACAATGGTTTTTGGTTATTTAAAACTAGCTGTTGTATCACTTGAATACTATTTCTTTTTTACAAATTTCAAAATTGAAAATGTTGAAAGCAATTTTTATTTCTATGATGATACATGATGTTAATTATGTTGAAAAAGGCTAATTAATCATCTGATTAACATGGAACTTTTAAAATTTAAATGTAAAAAAGTAGGTTTAAATCCAAAATCTTCTTTGGCTATTTTACTAGGTGTAAGGTTTTCCTATCCAAGGAGTTGGCTCAGTAATTTATGGCAGCCTAACTCATGGACATCAGCATGTCTCAACTGTACTACTTTTATCTTATTTGTTTCATCTCTCTTAAGTGCTACCATTTAAAAATATGTACATGGACAAATGTATAAGGTGTGTGATATATATATATATATCCAGCATTGGTCTTCATTATTTATTATCAATGTCAGTTAATTAGTTCTTAGTGTACTCAAATTAATTACAACATGTATCTGTGTATTTAAATGTGGTACAATGAAAAATTGTGTATTAGAATTTTTTTATTGTCATTTTTTAACTCAATTTTTTGCACTGAAATAAAAATGAATACAAAATGGTGGTTTGTTAATTTGTAAGCAGCGGTGTTAAAAAAAATTTTTTGGTGTCTTTTTCTGTTTTTAAATTTCTAGTTTGTTAGATATCTAAGTGTACTTGTTAACACACATAACAAGTCACTGTAGAAAAAAAGTCTGCTAAATGTATCATTATAGTCGTCCTGTTGTGATAACAGTTAGGGCTAACTATCTGAAGTCCCTGTCTGGCCACACCCACAGTAAAACCACAGGACACTCACACAAACCACATGAACACCCACACTGAAACCACATGATTTCCACACTACAGTAAAACCACACAACACACACAAACCATGTGAACACCCACACTGAAACCACACAACCCACAGAAATAACACAATATCAACACTAAAAACACACAATTACCCACATCCTAACCACAAAAAACACACCGATGCCACGTATGTGACACATCAAAGACTTGAATGACGTGAGTGAGACATCAAAAATTTATATGAGTGACATAACAAAGTTTTGAGTGACGTGTGTGACACATCAAAGATTTGAGTGACACATCAAAGATTTGAGTGACGTGTGTGACACATCAAAGATTTGAGTGACACATCACAGATTTGAGTGACACATCACAGATTTGAGTGACACATCACAGATTTGAGTGACACTTCAAAGATTTGAGTGACATATCAAAGTTATGAGTGATACATCAAAGATTTGAGTGACACATCAAAGATTTGATTGACACATCAAAGATTTGAGTGACACATCAAAGATTTGAGTGACACATCACAGATTTGAGTGACACATCAAAGATTTGAGTGACACATCAAAGATTTGAGTGACACATCAAAGATTTGAGTGACACATCAAAGATTTGAGTGACACATCACAGATTTGAGTGACACATCCATGATTTGAGTGACATATCAAAGATTTGAGTGACACATCCATGATTTGAGTGACACATCAAAGATTTGAGTGACACATCACAGATTTGAGTGACGTGAGTAACACATCAAAGATTTGAGTGACATGAGTGACACATCAAAGATTTGAGTGACACATCAAAAATTTGAGTGACACATCAAAGATTTGAGTGACACATCAAAGATTTGAGTGACACATCACAGATTTGAGTGACACATCCATGATTTGAGTGACACATCAAAGATTTGAGTGACACATCACAGATTTGAGTGACACATCACAGATTTGAGTGACACATCACAGATTTGAGTGACACATCCATGATTTGAGTGACACATCAAAGATTTGAGTGACACATCCATGATTTGAGTGACACATCAAAGATTTGAGTGACACATCACAGATTTGAGTGACGTGAGTAACACATCAAAGATTTGAGTGACATGAGTGACACATCAAAGATTTGAGTGACACATCAAAGATTTGAGTGACACATCAAAGATTTGAGTGACACATCAAAGATTTGAGTGACACATCAAAGATTTGAGTGACGTGAGTGACACTTCAAAGATTTGAGTGACACATCAAAGATTTGATTGACACATCAAAGATTTGAGTGACGTGAGTGAGACATCAAAGATTTGAGTGACGTGAGTGACACATCAAAGATTTGAGTGACACATCAAAGATTTGAGTGACACATCAAAGATTTGAGTGACACATCAAATATTTGAGTGACGTGAGTGACACATCAAAGACGTGAGTGACACATCAAAGATTTGATTGACACATAAAAGATTTGAGTGACGTGAGTGAGACATCAAAGATTTGAGTGACGTGAGTGACTTATCAAAGATTTGAGTGACACATCAAAGATTTGAGTGACACATCAAAGATTTGAGTGACACATCAAATATTTGAGTGACACATCAAATATTTGAGTGACGTGAGTGACACATCAAAGACGTGAGTGACACATCAAAGATTTGAGTGACACATCCAAGATTTGAGTGACGTGAGTGAGACATCAAAGATTTGAGTGACGTGAGTGACACATCAAAGATTTGAGTGAGACATCAAAGATTTGAGTGACGTGAGTGACACATCAAAGACGTGAGTGACACATCAAAGATTTGAGTGACACATCAAAGACTTGAGTGACACATCAAAGATTTGAGTGACTTTCTGACCGACGGGTTGCCACAATACAGCAGCGGGTTGACGGCCGAGTTCATGTAGGTCAGGAAGTTGACCAGGGTCAGTAGCCATATGGGCAGCTGTAGACTGCTGAAGTGGAACACCATCACCAGACACCACACCGGCGTCCAGCAGACGGTGAAACACAACACCACTGACCCGATGTTTAAGTACGCCTTCATGTTTTTGGTGTTGGTGCTAGCTGGTTTGGAACCCGAGTCGACCGCGTCAATGTCTTCACCAGCACTTGTTTGAGTTCGATCTTCATCAGCATTATCTACTCGACCACCTGAACAGACGGTAGAGACTGTAGTTTGACAAAAAACTGAATGTTTACCCGAGTTTTTTCTTCTCCCTCTGATTTCGTATTTTGTAAACGTTTTCTGTCTTTGATTAAACTTGCGAACCTCCCACAAGATGAGACAATACAGGGTGTACGTGACGGTGAAGGGGAGATAACAAGCCAGCGAGAAGATCGTGATCAAGGCCTCAGCGTTGAACATTGTGCTGCAGATGTGCTTGTCGTGGAAACATCGAACCAGCTGCTCGACGCCATGATGGTGCCAGTCGTTGATAGACGGCAGCAGCGTCGTGGCTGTGGGGACAACCCAGGATAGCACAACCATGAGGTAGCCAACCCGGGTTGTAAACATTCGGTACTTGAGTGGTTGGCAAATAGCGATGTACCGATCGATGGCCATGAAACAGATGTGGTAAATAGACACGGCACAAAATAAATTGTTGAGTGCTAAACGCGCGGTGCACAGCGACATTCCCATCACCCATTTCCCATTGTTGACAATCTCCATGACGCTCATGGGCCACACCCACAGACCTATCATGGCGTCGGAGAGCGTCATGGACGCCATTAACATCCGGGTGATGTGGGCGTGGCCGTGAGAGTTGTGGTCCCTGCAGGACTTGATGGCCGCCACAAACACGACGCTGTTGGTCACTACGGTGAAGAGGGCACACAGGGAGGACACGAGTGCTAGCAGGACCAGGACATAGAAGCTGTTTGATATAGCCAGACTAACGTCTGAAAGGTCGATCCCCTCAACAACACATTGCGTTTGGTTCATGACGGTGGTTAGACGATTTCAGTGCGACCTTAGACACATAATAACAATAACAATGCGGTTTCTTTCTATAACGACATAACTTGCCAATAAATGAGCTCACTATTCCAATGTAAGACTTAGCTCTTCACTGTTAGTCCTGTAAGGCTTGTACCTCACTGTCAAGTCTAGAGTACGACATCACTGTGCCGTTATGGTTTTAAGAAAACATTTTACACTTCTTAAATACACAATCATCACTTATTGAGCAATCAATACATTTGCTATCTGTTCGTGAGTTTAATTTAAAAAAAAAACAACTACACATTATATACAGCTATAGTCTAGCATTGCATGACAGTCGTTAGCACTTCCACTAATTTTAAGTCCAAGCATGTTTTAAACAGGGCCAGAGATGAGTTACAAGATCTGGCCACAAAGCCACCCAACCACATTAGAACTTCACGTAATAAGAAAAGCTTGCACTAAACCAATCAGGTGTCGCCGTAACCTCTACACCACTGATCGTCAGGAGGAAATCATCACCAAAAGTTTTTTAACTTTTTGTTTTAGCAATCTCCAGGCAGTTCAAGTTTAATTTCATCGTTCATTATCGATGCTATGCCTTAAACTATATGAACACATACAACTCCAGTTTATATTTCTATGTAACCTCGAATAATCCACAAAATATAGGATGCCACCTCCGTATCGGTGCAAAAACCTTTAACACAAGCTGGATATAAATCTATTTAACATTTAACATGGAAGATTGCAAACAAGCTATTTGTTATGTCATCAGCCACAGTTCAACAATCGATACCCATTAAAGCTGTCTGTTTGGTATCGATACCCATTAAAGCTGTCTGTTTGGTATCGATACCCATTAAAGCTGTCTGTTTGGTATCGATACCCATTAAAGCTGTCTGTTTGGTATCGATACCCATTAAAGCTGTCTGTTTGGTATCGATACCCATTAAAGCTGTCTGTTTGTTTAGATGTGACTAGTGGCCTAACAAATCCTCAAACATTACGTGCAGGCTTTTAGTACTGGAACGAAAGCATGTCTAGCAAATCTGGCTGTTGGATAAATGGTTTTACTACAATTACTTGGGCCTTTCTTTAGCACTGACTCTCAAATGCTGACTCTAGTACTGACTCTCTAAGTTAAACTACGAAATGATTTAGCCTACTCTCCAGATGGACTCTCTAGAGTTGAAATGTGGATTGAAATCTTTTTGAGAGAGCAGGGTGTATTGAAAAACAAATATTTATGGTTATAATATCGTTTTAGTTCGTTAAAAATTATTTAAAAACATAAAAGTTGGATGCAGAGAAAATGAATTAAATTACATTTTTTTTTAAAAATATTAAATATTTAAAACGCAGCTTTAAAAAACCGTTACACAGCTTTAAGGCGTGGCTGTGGTCGAATCATATTAAGTCACGTGGTCAACTCTGAATTAAAGAAGTTCCGTAGTGGGGTAAACATTCAAAATGCGAACGTCATACATAGATGACCCTTTATTAATGTTATCCACTAGAATAATACGTAAAACAAATTCATGCCGATTTCGCTGCTAGCTTAAGTGCGATAGTTAAACTAGATACAGGAGATGATTAGGGGTCATCCATAAATGAGTTCACGCTTTTTTACGATTTTTACCTTCCCCCCCCCCCCCCCCCACTCTCCTACATTGTCACAAAAAGCCAGAACCCCCCCCCCCCCCTAAAATGATGTCACACATCAGCCTACAACCCCCCTCAAAATTATAGTTGAATTTTTCATAAAACATCGATATTTTTCCAAAATCTTGTCTGAACTCTGTCAACATAATAATAGTATTTTAATCAATTCTTATTACAATTTATTAAAACAGTTTTCTAAAACGAGAAATAACGGCTGAATTCGTTTTCTAACATTGCTTTTTTATAATGCAAAAGTGTGACGTCACACCATCTGAACCCCCTCACCCCCTCAACACAACATTACGGACCCGCCCTTCCCCCCCCCCCCCCCCTCCCCTTCGAGTGTGACGTCTTTTATTGACGACCAGATATATATATATATATATATATATATATATATATATATATATATATATATATATATATATATATATATATATATACATATATATATATATATATATATACATATATATATATATATATATATATATATATATACATATATATATATATATATATATATATATATATATATATATATATATATATATATATATATATATATATATTAAAAAAACTAAATATTCAAGTTAAAGTTTACAAGTTTTTTTTTTTACCAAACACAAAACTGATATGTCTAAATGCTGATATAGCAATCAATACAATAATCAATACAACCAAAATCAAACAAAAACCTACTATCCACATTTGTAACTACAGTTTTGCCTATAGATTACTGCGTACGTACATATTTAAAAACACACACCTTAAATATACCAAATTTCTATGTTACACTGTTACACAGGTATTCCCTGACGTTCTGGGCCTGTAGATCTAATGTATACAGGGAAGTAAGTCAACGCTAGAAACTCCTAACTTCATCGTGTTGTTCGGTATGGTAATAAAACACTAAGAAGACATTTAATTTCTCGGTGTCACTTGCCTAGAAATTACCAGTTCTTAACTACGGTTATGGTAAGTGTTGAATTCAATATTATAGCAAGTCAAAAAAAAATATTTTAGTGTCGTAGTTAACTTACACAGTAATCATTGAATTTCTTAACGTTTACCTCGAGTCATAGACAGACATGCGGTGTTTTAAAACGAATGAGTATATATATATATATATATATATATATATATATATATGTATATATATATATATATATCATCCCAAATTACATTATTTTTAATTAATTCCCAGAGCCAGGAGAGAAATGTATTCATCTGAAATAATTTGAACATGGTTTTACGAATATTTCTTTTTGCTTCAGTTGTTCATTGTCTTATTTCTCTGATCAACTCAGGTAACTAAAGCCAATCAAGATAATTCATCTTATTAATAAAAACTTTAATCTCCTTATTAATCTAACTTAATCGAAGCTATAACTTGCTCTAGTATTACTGTGTATGAAAAATAAAATTTTAAAAAGTATATATAATTCTATAAATTAAAACCTTAGCTTGCCCCTCCGGGTGGTTTGGTCCAGCCTGCCAATACAAATGCCACTGTGCCAACAACTACTGCGACGATAAAGGTCTGTGTGTGAGTGGGTCAACCTGTGTGCGCGGCTGGTTTGGTCCATCCTGTCAGTACCGTAAGTAAAAACAAAATTCTTATACGTTTAAATCATTGAAACAAATCTTTCCACCCCCTTTTATTTACAAACAAGGGTCTTTGCAGTAAGAACTAATTATAATTTATTCATCCCATGCAGAGGATCTGGCGTCTAAAGACTCCACGGTCACACCAAGCTACGCCATCACTGATGGAAGCGACAAGACATGTACTGATGTACGGAGCGTCTCAGTCAGATGGGGTACTGGGGTCTACGTCGGCTGGGTTCGTGTTGTAGTGAGAGAAAACGGTAGGCTGTTGTCAGGTGTATACACAAGCAGAAATAAACGGTAGGCTGTTGTCAGGTGTATACACAAGCAGAAATAAACGGTAGGCTGTTGTCAGGTGTATACACAAGCAGAAATTAACGGTAGGCTGTTGTCAGGTGTATACACAACCAGAAATTAACGGTATGCTGTTGTCAGGTGTATACACAACCAGAAATTAACGGTAGGCTGTTGTCAGGTGTATACACAACCAGAAATTAACGGTAGGCTGTTGTCAGGTGTATACACAAGCAGAAATAAACGGTAGGCTGTTGTCAGGTGTATACACAACCAGAAATAAACGGTAGGCTGTTGTCAGGTGTATACACAACCAGAAATTAACGGTAGGCTGTTGTCAGGTGTATACACAACCAGAAATTAACGGTAGGCTGTTGTCAGGTGTATACACAAGCAGAAATTAACGGTAGGCTGTTGTCAGGTGTATACACAACCAGAAATTAACGGTAGGCTGTTGTCAGGTGTATACACAAGCAGAAATTAACGGTAGGCTGTTGTCAGGTGTATACACAACCAGAAATTAACGGTATGCTGTTGTCAGGTGTATACACAACCAGAAATTAACGGTAGGCTGTTGTCAGGTGTATACACAACCAGAAATTAACGGTAGGCTGTTGTCAGGTGTATACACAACCAGAAATTAACCCTAGTTTATTATTAATTCGTTCTTAACTCTAGTGCTGGAAGAGATTCCCTCCAACACAATCATCACGTGTCAACCTGCTATGCGCCGTGTTTTCTTTTTGGATTTGTTTGGCCCAACCAAGAACTAACCACATGACAGGAGTTGTATGAATTTTGGAACTGTCTCTACTAGATGAGTGGCTGTCCCCAGGGGGGCCACACCGACATCCAAATGTTATCTATTTATTTAGGCCTATTTTAGTTTTAAAAAAAATAATGAATGTTAAAAAGAAAAGT